TTAGTAGTTGGGTGAATCAAGACTCAACTCAAGAACAAAGTGACAAAGAAACTAGCGGACTGATCGCTAAATAGATACAAATAGGTGCAAATTCTGACATCACCACAGCCCACTAGGTTCTTTCGCTCCTTGCTCGCGGAGCGGCATAATGGAAAAAAAAATAAGAAAGAGATTCTTCCCTAAGAGCTTGTCCAGTACCAGAAATGCATCTCCTTCGCCCGCGCGAGAGACTTTTATGCCAGCCAGGAATAACGGCTCTGTTATGAAAGAGCAGGCAGACTATACGGAATAAGCTTTAAAGAAGAGAGCTATCAACGCTAATAATAATAAGCATTTCATAAGAAAATAATTTTTTTTTAATCTCAAAGGTATGCAAAGGCTAATCCCCCAAGGAGAGGGCCTTCATTCCTTGCTTCTTAGCTCCATGGATTTCTTGGAGGAGGATGGTTGAAAGGATTCTCCAAGTTCCCAAAATAGAGAACCTCTAATTTTTCCACACCATGTAGAGCTTTGATGAGGAGATGACTGACCTAGGAAGATTTAGATGCTAGTAAAACCTTCCTAGGGTGGCCGGCCTCTTAGAGAGAAAAGGTAGCTTGTGTTCTCACTTTTTCTCCAAAAGAAACCCTAAGGATGAAATGGCTATAAAGTTGCCTTTATACCACCTCACAATGTAGTGGCAAACTTGCAATTAAAGCAAGTTCACTACCCTTTCTCTATATGGCCGGCCTTAAGGGTTTACAGGGCTTTCAAGCCCTTTGTGTTTTCAAGTTGTCATACAACTTGAGTTATTGGACTTGACATTCAAGTCCAATTGGGCCTTGCGGCCCAAAACTAACCCGAGGTCTAAAACAAACTTATTCGTTTGATTAATCATCATATTAATTAATCTTTGCCATAAATAATTAAACCATTTAATTATCCTTCCTCATCTCCGTTATTTCTTGAATCTCTACCTTACACGGTGTACGATCCATTAGGTTTCTTTTTGCGAGGCAGTGGGCGATTATAACTCTTCATATCGATTATGAATTGAAACTTACTTTCAATTCTCCCTTTAGTGATTATACACGTTTAGGGCTTCCACAAACCATGAGTGACACCTAGCAGTATGTTATGGTTACCCAAGCTAATCATAAGAGGTGAAGAACCTATTCAGTTTAGGATTACAATGCAATACGGTCTTTCTCTAATACAATACTCTTGACCACATTGTTTAGTTTGATATTATCCAATGTGATTCTTTTACTTATATGATTACCTTGAATGTGATTTGGAACAACTTCGTAAATCTCATTCATACTCTGGCAAGAGATTCTTAATCATATCATAGATTATTCTCCCTCAAACAGTTTGAAGGTTAGAGATCCCTTGTTGCGCATTCACTTGCCTCCATGGCTAAGTGACTTAACCCGAACTATGTCGTGGACACCCTCTGATGGCGTGACTTTGACATAGTCAAAGATCAAGGGCCTAACTACAAGACAACTATGATGCCTCAGGTCAAATGACTATTTTGCATTATCCTAACCATGAGTTCTCATGTGACATGAGTATGCAAACTCCTCGTTGATCGTGTTCAATGGACTCATTCTCTATTGAGCACCTACATGCTTGTCTTGGTGTCAGCCACACCAATGACTCAAGACCAGTCACTCTCCCTAAGAGAAGGCATAGCACGTACTAATCTTAACGGACTGTCAATGCCTAATTGGCAATCCTATGATCAGGAACGTTTAGGATATGTATACAAAGAGAATGGTCTCATGTATCTAACTTATTTAGATCACATTCTCCCAGTTGCATATTCCTTGGACTTTTTGTTTAAGCATACAACATTTATATGAGACGGCTTAAAACAATAATCTTTACCCTTTATATTAAAGTAGATTACTTTAACATATGAAATGTCCGTAAAGTATCATCATATGATTGGTTTTTAGGCACATTTCCAACAAAATAGTCATCAAAGAAGAAGGAGAATTAAAAGTAAGTTTTAATTCACTAAGTGATTGGATAAATACTAATCAATTGGATTGATACCAATCACCTCACTGCCTCGCTAATTAGAACCTAAAACGATTGTACACCGATACACTCTTGCGGTGAGACAACTAAAGGATGATGGAATTAATTAATTGGATTAATTAAGTGTTATGATTAATTAGAAAGTTGATAGGAGCATATTTAGGCAACTTAGTTGGCTTGTTCTTGTGCATTTACGTTGTTATTTCTTAGTTCTTTAAGTCTTTTAAGTTATTTTCGTATGTTTTTAGGTTCTAAGGGCTAAAGGAGCAAAGAAGTGCATTTTGGAGCCTTTTGGAGCACTTTTGGGCTAAGGATGGATAGCTTATGCTTGGAGCCAAAGTGTTGGACGAAATTGAAGGCCTTGTAGGCACTTTAGGACACAAAACAATGGCCCTAGCCCAATTACACACCATTGTCGTAGCCTTCCCCCTCCATAACCACCAATTCCAGCCATCTTCCACATATTCTCCCTTTGAGCCGTACCCACCAATCACATGCACTCATCATCATTCAACCTAGTTGTCACTCACAAGATTTCCCCCTTCATCATTGCAGCACATTCTCTTCCATATTCCCTCTTTAAACATTAAATCCCTAGTTGTCACTCCCATCATCATTGAGCCATATATTCTCCCATAAACCATCAGCACATGCTCTCCCTTTTGTGCCGTGCATTCCCCTTCCAATTACACCTTTCCCACTTCATCATTCAGCCACATGATCTCCCATTCATTCACTCTTTAATCATTCCATTCATGCACCCTTTAATCATTCACTCCCTAGCTGTTTTTCCATTCATTCCCTTCATTATTTCAGCCACCATCACATTATTCCAACCTTAGCCGCACACTTCCATATTCCCTAGCTGTTTTTCCATTCATTCCCTTCATTATTTCAGCCACATGCACTCTTAATCATAGAGCCACATGCACTCTTAATCATTCAGCCACATTCTCTCCCATTCTCTCCTTATAAAACTGTGCATCCCATCACCTATAACCAACAATCCTTGGTGCCGTGCATTCCTCTTCCATTTTCCAGCATTTCCCCCATCCTGGCAGCAGCACTCCAACCATTCCTCACTCTATTCCACACATCCACATACCTTTCCACCACCTTCCAACCATCAAACACTCATCAACAACCAACCTACACCCCTTGCCGTGCCTCTACACCCCCCCTAAACCCGTTCTACATCATCAAAACAGCCCAGAAACCATCACTATCCAATCTGCCGCAAGCAAGGGAAAAGAGACAGTTTCACACAATTGTTTAGCTCTTCATTCTGAGTTGTTGAACAATTTTAGGTGTATTCTATCTTATATTTCAATGTCTAATTCATGTAATCTTTGTTTTGCCTTAAGAATGATTGGCTAAATTCGTTTTGGCTAAGGGTGTATTCGAAACCATGATTATATATGTGAAATAAGTTGATTACTTCCAGTTATCGTTGCATAAGTCGTGAATACAATTTGCTTAACCGTTTGATTTAGAACTTATTCTTGTATGTTGATTGAGAGTGCACGCTTAATTTGCATGCTTGAATTTGGTGCTAGGATATAAGTTTGTTTCACCTAATCGTTATGAATTTATATTCACAAGTAGTGAAGGTCGCTAGTCACGATCATGTTAAGTAGATTCCTGGCAAGAGTTTCATGCTTTTCATAGTTACAAATGCCTTGTCGATGCTTATGATTTCCAAAGAACGTAATGATTCTAATTTGTATCTTTATCATGCTGTTCATATAGAGAACTTGTTAGGAATAATTTGTTTGCGATGCATATTCATCCAATTCAATGATTCTAGGGAAATCTGAAGGTTAATTTAAGCGGACCTAATTAACTTGGAGTGTCGAGGTTCATAACTTATTGAATTGATAACTGGAATTGATTTATGTTGCATATATTTCATGTGTGGAGAAGAACCCCTTAGCTATTCCATCATCCATTGGTCTATCACAATTTGTCTTACAATCTGTTTTCTTTACAATCTGTCCATTTAATTTAATTTCGTCCAAACACAATCCCCCCATATTTTGTTAAGTCTTAGTCATTACAATCTATCTTATTTTGTGTTTTTAAGTATTTGGAGTCTTGTGGACTTGTTTTGAGTTTTTGTTAAGTGAGTTAAGTGTTTTAAAGGTTAGTTTTATTTATTTGAGTCAGTTTAAAGTGTTTAGCACCCCTAGTTAATCCCCGGTTAGAACGATCCCTACTTACATCATTACTACAATTGTCACAAATAGGGTTTAATTTGTGTGTCACATTCGTAACGCATCAAAAGTCTAAAGAAATCATAGAAGCGATGAAAGATCGTTTCAGGCTTAAAGAAAAGTTCGGGTTCATTCGGGCCCATTGGGCTTTTTATTCAAGCATACGATGACTTGAAATAATAAAAACCTAAAGCCCAAATCAACACTAAGGGGCCGGCCAAAGATGAGGAAAGAAGAGAGAGAGAGAGTCAATTAGTTGACTTACTTTTTTTACCTTTATAAGGGGAGTTAAATGAAAAAGTTTCATTAGGGTTTTTTGTGTGAACATTTCAACAAGAGAGTCTCTCTCTCTACACACATACATAGCTGACCACCAAAGGGGGATATAGCTAATCATCTTTTCCCTTTTTGGTTATTCCAACATCCATCTCACTACACTAGTGGGTGTGGATCTTTAGAGGTCTTCTACTTTGGAGACTAGAGGAGAATCAAAGGAGCTCCAAATCTATCAAGGTGGAGGAAACAAGGAGGGGAGGCTAGACTCAAGGAGTTCCAAGAACAAAGAGCTTGGAGGTGGTCCATCCTTGGTCTAAAGTCTAGATCAAGAGGTATAAAACTCAACCTTCACTTTGTTCTTCAATACTTTGTTTGATGCAGCATATATGAACTTATGCTTCTTGAAGGGGATTTGCATGACTATAGCTTTGATAATATGTGATAATATGCTTCTGTTGCTTATGTATATTAATTTAGAATTGTATATGCATGCTAGTCACTGGAAATCCCACTATAAATCTCATAATTTCCCTTCACTTACATATCAGCTTTTGCCATAAAAGTCGTCGACAACATGAGCTCTATTGGGTCAACATGAAGTAATCACCCACATCAATAGCTAAATAACGAACGAGACGCATCATAGCCAATGAGTGAGATGTACTTAAGTCGTCCATATCTAACTAACCAGTATGGAAAAATAAGATCCTTACGTTGCATGACTTTTAGCTCAAACCCTGCATTCGAGCGAATTTTCGGTGAGCAATATTTGTTGTTTTTGGAGTTTCGAGTAATCTTGGTGAGAAATTTCTACTAAGATTGGTTGGGTTTCCATTTCACAGGTCAAGAGAAGAGAGCACAAGCAGCACCCTTGTGGCCCTTGTCAAGATGGCAAGGCAACCTGGCCATACGAGAGCAGAGAAAAAACAATACACAAGGTAAACAAAATAAAATGAGTAGGTACAACATGTTATAGAAGGCGTAAAGTGCTTGGAGAACAACAATGCTGAACAAAACGTAACAACTACTTGCAATAAAGATACAAACAACAACAAACCCTAAATCATTTCAAACAACAACAAACCCTAAATTATTTCAAAAACTAAAAAAAAAATTGTAATAAAGATACACATCACAGGATTTGTTTTCATTACATGATAGAAGTGTAGCTTTAACAGCTGACTAAGAATAAACACTGATGAAAGCGGAAGCAATGCAATATTTCCTAAAACAAATTTGCCATGTTATACCAACATAGTAATAAGCTTGTGTACATTTAAACCAAATGTAGGTGAGACTTTGTACTCTTAATTTTAACAAACTATCACGATAGTTTATGGAAGAGTACTTAGCCATCCATATATCATAATGGTAGCATGATTGAATAGTGAGTATGTAGACAAGAACTACACCAAGGTTACCTGAAGTCGAAGGGTAAAATGAGAACAAGAGAATTATTTTTTTTAACGAGAACAAGAGTATGCAAACAATTAGAATATCTCTTGCAGTTGGCAAGGATTAGCCCATCAAAACATTCTGAATACAACCTTTTCATCTTCAGATTGCATGTCCACTTTCAAAAGAAAGACCTCGCGAACGAAAAACAGTGTAGCTATGAGCATTGACTTAAAGGGTAACAAGATATATAAATCAAAGGTGAAAACAGAAAAACTAATAAAAAATATATACAGGTTCACGTCCTATAACTTTTCACAACCATTTACAAAGCATATCGTAGTCAAGCAAACATGCCTTCATTCTAACCAATAAAATATAACAAAAATAGAACACTGAATGTCAAATACTCATGCAGTCATGTGCTAATTCCTTTGACAATACAATATGACTCTCATGCAGAAAGCTTAATATATATGCCGGTGTGTCTCTGCATTTCTCAATGTGAAAAATAATCTGTATTTGTCTTATTATGAATCAGTTTACAGATTTATAGTCATGCACTGAAGAGAAGAGTCAAAGATCGTATAAAAGAGTCAAATGTCGTGTCACATTTAATAATCTGATAAATGTCACATATATAGAATGGACTCATAAGATTTATAACTAGTCTGATTTGTCTGTTAGTTCTAAATTGTATCATAGATCAATCATACACTCAAGATCAAATTTTACAATATGAGATATAGAAGCCTGAACAGCTTACCTTCCAATGAAACGCATTACATAACCCATCATACTTGTCGCATTGCATTTTTGCACATGGTATTTAAGGATAAGTTGCCAGAAATATCAGTGTCACTCCCATTAAAATACTTCAATAACCACAAAATGGCAGAACGGTTTATCATTCCTGCTGAATCATGAATGACGAGATCCCCATTTTTGCTCTCAACTTTTTCTGAAAACTCAGCCAAGCTTTCAAATAGCATGGAGCCATTAGATACGGCCCATTTAGCCATAACAGCAGAAGCAAAATCCTGAAAGACACTGTTAGGTAATAACATGAGAGCCCTAACCAGCTCAGGCGTGGGTGGACAGCAACTACAGAGTGTAAGAAGACCTTCAACAGCAATGGCACTCGCATTTGCATCTAATTTCTCTAACCAGAAAAACTTTGAAAGTAGTCCCTGCACTTGCACAGTGGAAACCGCTAGCTCTGATCTAATCAAGCCCCAGAATTTATGTTGTTCCACACAACCCCAATTAAGGGAATTCTTCACTAAGCGGAAAACTGTTTCAGTATTCTCACCAAAAATGGAAAATCTTTTCAAGCCAATCTCAATTTGTATATTAACAAGATCAGCATGATCTAATTGACCAACAAGTAGCTTGACGATGCCTTCCTCACCAATGGACATATCAGAAAGATGACAATAGACGCTGGAAAACAAGAATTTTAATCGCTTCCTCTCCCACACGGAACAAGTCATTATGTCTGAAAAAAGGAGCTGCGGCAGAGAAGTATCCTTGAATAAGGCAGTTCTTGAATACACAAGGAAGCATTTGTAGGCAGCAAAGGCACCATCGACTAACATTGCAACTAACTTCTTTTCCGCTTTAGAAATAGACTCAATAGTTTCATATGAGTTTTTAGTTCTACCATGCAAAAAAGAAAAGTACCCATTGACATGATATAGCAGCAGACGGATGCCTGAATCACTTGGAGTAATAGAATTAACGTCAACCATGGCATCTCCAAAAAGACCCACCATGCGTCCCTCATAAGCTAGTCTTGATGCATACAATAATAACCTTGCTCCAACTGGAAAACCATTCTTTAACCAGAATAGAAGCATAGCTTGCATATTTTGATGCTGTGAAAGAACAAACATACGGATAATTAAGGATGTAGCAGACCCAACTTCATCACCGTTTTCAGGACTATCTGGATGAAAATCGAGAGGAGAAAATAATTTGGACCCACTCAATTCATACAACTTTTTTATTTTAGAAGATAAAACATCCGGGAGAATGAAGCCACTCTCTGGTCCTTGGCCATCAAAACTCACAAATAAAAGTAACAGTTCTTCCAAAGTACAAAGAGCCATTGGATTTGAATTTTTAATTGCTTCTCCAAGATTATGAATCAAATTGTCTATATCAAGAACTTGACCTTCCCTGTCCACTACTAATGGACTATGGGAAGGAGCTGCATCATCTGATATCATAACTTTAGGTTCAGCTGATTTGATACTAAACCTGTCTCCTTGGCTACATTTTGGTTGCCATTCTGTTAATGGTAATGGAGTTTCCATACATGAAGAGTTCGAACTCACAAAATCAGCAGGATGGCAAGCTTGTTGCAACTCTTTAGAAATTTCAAATTTCCTACCTGACAAAATCCTACCAAGCCTCTCTTTCAATATAGGAGACAATGCATCACAAGAGGTCAAGATATCGAGTGAACGAATCACTCCTCTCTTAACAAGTACACTAAAAGAAGATGACACACCTTTAGCTAAGATATGGTAACGTTCCACATCATAGTTGTCCATAAGAAGGAACAAAAATTCAAGAATAGTATGAGTTACATCAATGTATCTGGGTATAGAATAGACCATTAATAACATTGCTGGTTCAATATCCATAATATTGTCTACTCTTTCCTCGAAAAAGAGCCAATCATAAAGTAGAGCTAGTTTCACATTCGCTTCAACATAATTCTTCGTGCAAGATTTGAAAAGCCAACCCATAACAGCCCATCTTGGAATGACATCTGACTGAATGATTTCATTGGTCGGGTGGTAAGCACAACATATAAAGCGAACAATGTCAATTATGAGAGTCTCTCTGTTTGGTTCAAATAGAAACTTCTTGGAAAACCATGCCTGATGACGCTTCTGGTTTCCCAACTTCACATGAGTGAGCAAAAATCGTAAATGGGCCTCCATTTCTGGAGTAATCCTAAGTAACATATACTCGCTTGGAGTCCTTGTGTTATAGAGTTGTGGAATACCTGAAAATCCCTGAGCTTTAAATTCGCCGCGATTCAATACCAAATCCTTCCATATTGTTCTAAACTTGAGCAAATGAACCAAATCTTGTAGAAGTCGAACAAGATCCCTGCCAATCTTCAAACACAAAGGAAACTTCTCCTTAAAAACTTTAATGCAAAAATCGACCTCCAATTGCTTTAATGCCTCTAATTTTGGATTGCTTAACAACCTATAGTGATCAGCTAATAACCGAAGATATGTATACAATCCACTAGTCAAAATCATCGGTTCTACTTCTAACAAACAATCCCATTTGGTCATAAAAATGCTCACCATCTCAAAGCAAAGCCACTGATTTCCATCACTATAATCCCCTCCAATAATTTGCCTCAACAAGCAAACCAACAAACCATCAACACCTACCGCTAGAACATTGATCAACTCCTTAGTAACCCAAATTAATTGAGACTTCACCGGTTCAAGAAGTTTCACATACAGTTCATTCACAACCTTGACTAGCAAGCTAACAAACCAGAAATACCCATCAGTGACAATAGCATGTAAGTGCTTCATATGTGTTTTTCCAACATGGCTTTCACATAATACACCATAAAGGATCGCTTTGTTGAGCAACAAGTATTCTTGTGGGTTTGGAATTGTTAATGAAAAAGGGGGCCTCAGTTTTGGTTCAAGAAGTTCAAAGGCTTGTCTCAGAGAGAGCTCTATTGGGTTTTCAGCTTCATGGGAAGAGGTTTGAATTAGTTTCATTTCCACGTCTGGTTTATATAGAACAGCTGTAATGACCCTCTGTGTGTAATTGGGGAATAATGGTAGTAGAATTGAGTTAAGAGACTCAGAGGTTACTGAAATTTAACTTAGCAAATCATATTTAATGGAGACATAGAAATAGCTGAGGGGAGCACCTCATAGCAGATCTTCTGTATATTTCAATAACAAAAAGTTGGGCACTGGTTAGCGGCTTCTTGGATCACGCCACTGCTCATAGTAGCTCATCGAGCACACCTGCATGAGTAGAATAAAAACAATCTAAGAAACGTATACATAAGAGCTATCGCAGAGAACCCCAACACTCTGTATAGTCAGGTAGTAAATCAAGAAGCCATATCCAATGCAAGAGAGCATTGTACCAGCTTCTTTTTCTTTTGGATAAAAAGAAACTCACAACAAAACTACTAGTACAATACATTAAGAGACTCCAGACTGAAAAAAGAATAATCCCTAAATTATGGAGATACCAAAGTGCATAAAGTAAGCCCAAAATCCAACTCTCCCCACACATTATCCACCCACCCTCTAACATCGTAAAAAGTCCTAATTCTTTCCCATCTCAACTGATCATCTTCATTACGATCTCTCTAATAGATATAGGATTCACATACCCACCTAAATTAGAGAGATTGTACACAACACGAGCAGTAGAGATGGTAATTATAGAGCAACGGTCAATTTTGACTGAAACTATTTTTCTTAGAAACTATATTTTAGGCATGTAGGTTATGCACAACCTCATTCACGTAATGTTTTCTTTTTCCTTTTTTTTTTTTTTGTCTAAGAATTTTCTTTTTATTAAAAGGAAACCTCATTGATGTAATAATCTTACAATTAAATGTTCAGAATCCTACATTAATATTAGTAAAATACAAATATGAATATAGGTATGAAGGGTTTTCTGACATTTAGTATGAACGGTATAATAACATCGGCAAGTAAACGAAATTGTTTCGTTAAACCTAAAACATTTAGCCCTTCATGACTAGAGATTAAGCTGGATAGAGCAAGTGATTAAGCAATAGAGCAAATACCATATTCAGACGTTTTAACAAACACCTGGTGTGCAACGCAGCCAAGAAACCAAAACCAATCGGGAAAAACGGCCAAGAAACATCAACTCTACAGATATACGTATACATATGTGTGTGTGTGTGTGTGTGTGTGTGTGTGTGTGTGTGTGTCTATGTATGTATGTATATATTCACGAAAGAAGAACACTTACATACACGATTATACGATATATTGGGAGAGCTCGACGCGAACTTGATTACTTGGCCGCTGTGACTGAGAAGAAAAGGCGCGGAATGAAGAGAAGGTCGGGAAAACGGTGACGAAGCAAGCGTGGCGACATAGGTGCGAGTAACCCAAGTATCGCGAAAGGGTAATGCTACGGAACAAATTTCGTACACAAAACACATAAAAATTGATGATTGAATTATATTTAAGTGTTAATTCATACCCTTATTTCTTATTGTGACACATCATTACATTTGCAAATTTAGTCTACTTAACATTACTCATTGCAAAATCGTCTGCATTATTGAGAATGTGCTGTTAAGATCATCTCCAATCCTTAAAGATAAAAGTTTTAAATTTTAAATTAGAAAAGTTTAAGTTATAACCCACAAACTGCTTTTTTTTTTTTTTTCCTTAAATAGTTATGGCCTAAAATTTTAGGAAAACTAATGAAAGAGCTTTAAAACTTTTAATTTTAAGCAAAAGTCATCTAATAACTTTATATTTAATAATAAGAACAAAAAAAAAAAAAAAAAAAAAAAAAAAAAAAAAAAAAAAAACCCTTATCAAACTCTCATGCAGTCTCCTTTGTCGCTGCATCTTTCGACTACTTTTTCTTGCACTCATCAATTGGGGTCCAAAAATTCCCTTGTGAAGCAACTCCAATCTTGGCAGCTCCAATATCTATAAAGCACACACCTCTATATATTTGTACTATATATACATAAGCACCCTACTACATATTATATATTATAGACATATGAAGCACTAAAGAGTACCTTGTGCAACTTCATTTACCAAGCCACTACCTTTTATACACAAAATTTTGATAAACATGATGCACCGATTAGACGAATGCAATGTTCCTAGCAATTTTTATCCACAAAACTACTAGCCGTGAGATGCTTTAGAAATTGTATGGTAATCAAAATTCAGGGTTTTTAAGTACACCCACATATTGAAATGATTGAAGACTTGAGATGCTTCTGAAATTGAAGAACATGAACCAGGGGTACGATCTAGGCTCATATTCATGGGTGTATTTGATTTTATTGATTTCATTTGCATTCTTTTTTTATTTATTTATTATTTTGCAGAGGGCGAATGTGAGATTGTAGGGAGATGAGAAGAGAAAGCCAAAAATGGAAGGACAATAGAATAAAATTAAGTAATTGGCGTAAAAAGTTAAGAAATTGAAGAGATACAGAGAAAACTTGATGAGTATCGAAGAAAATTAGAAGAAGAAAATATGTTTGGAAGGTGAGAATGTGCCAAGAAAATTCAAGAAGAGGAGAGAGAAGAATATAGTACCGTTAAGTTTCATAAATAGTGTAGCACCATTAAGTTTCATAAACAATGTAATACTATTAAGTTTCATAAACAGTGTAGTCAAAGTAGTACCGTTAAGTTTCATAAATAGTGTATTACCGTTAAGTTTCAGAAAAAGTGTAATAAGTTTCATAAACAATGTAGTATCATTAAGTTTCATAAACAATTTGTGTGAGAACACGTGTATCAGAATCTTTTTTTAATATTAAAATTATGTCCGTTTTAAAATTTAATTTGTTTTGTGCTTTTTATTAAAATTTATGAGTTTTGCATTAAAATTTAAGTCTTTTTCTTTTAACAAAGTTATGGCATAGTTTTTTTATTAAAATATACTTAACCCAAGCCCTTTTCACAGTTCGATTTGTGTTTCAGTTCGATTTTTTTTTTTTTTTTTTTTTTTTTTTTTTTTTTTGCTTCGATTTGGTATTCGGTTCAGTTTCTTTCGATTTTTGATTTTTTGAACCACCTCTAATGGTTGGAGATGGTTAGGGGGAGGGGGGGGGAGGTTTAAAGCTTGTATTTTAAGTTTTATTCTATGGATTGTAGATGGTCTAAGGTGCGGTCTTCTCATGATCTTGTTGGATCAAATTGAATGGTTGACAATAAAACTCCCCCGATTATTTTTTTAAGAATTTTTTTTAATTAATAGTTTTCTACTTATTCTAGAGAGACTATCTACTTGAATTATATTTTGTAAACCATGTGATGTAGCAGTTGATGGTTAGACTCTTTTTTTAGATCATTAAAAAAAGAATCCAACTATCAACTATCACATCATGTGGTCTAAAAAATATGACTTTCCTAGAATATTCCCTGATAAAATTGATAAATTGGGTCTAATAGTCTTGGCACCAATAAAAAAGTCAAGTGCCAAAAATATGTGGCACATAAATGAGTCTCACAAGTTTTTTTTTAAGATTTTTAATTTTTATATATTTTATCATAAATGATCCCTGAAATTAACCCACACCATCAGAATGATTCCTAAAATTGAAAATCGATAAATGTAGTTCTAAAACAGATGTCTCAAATCAATGTGGTCATTCCGTTATAATTCTGTCAAATATTTTGCTACAAGTCTAACTAAATAAATTAGAAATAGGTTTAATAATTTAATAATTAATTAAAAAAGTTGTCAACCTGGAAACTCGGCTCCGCAATCACCTCTGATCCCAACCCATACTCCTCTGCCTCCATCTATGGTAGCCTATGCATCTCTTCTTTGAAAAAAAAATTCTCAAGACACCCATTTTTACACCTTTTGACGACCTTCATCGAATTGGACTAGGATCGAGACCACCTTTTATAGGGCGCTCCCTGGATCTTGGTGACGGGAAGAACGACGAGCTCTCCCTTGAGATAATCTCGTTGTGCAAAAAGATGTTTTGACAGCTTTTTAATTAGTTATTAAACCCACATAAGCATATTTTTGACATAATTGTGACAGAATGACTACATTGATTTGTGATGCCTATTTTCATGGACTACGTTTATCGATTTTCAATTTCAGGGACCATATTGATGGTGTAGGTCTCAATTTCATGGACCATTTATGATAAAACTCTTACATCATGTCGGCCCCATTTATGTGTCACATCAACATATAACAAATTTTTTTACAAAATTGAGATGGAAGGTCCACTTGATTTTGCGACACCTATTTTCAGGGACTACATCGATTGATTTTCAATTTTAGGGACTATTTGATATATGTGACATCCCACATCGCCCAGGGGTGATCCTTAAATGTATATTCCCATCCTACCTAGCACGAGGCCTTTTGGGAGCTCACTGGCTTCGGATTCCATAGGAACTCCGAAGTTAAGCGAGTAGCGCGCGAGAGCACTCCCAGGATGGGTGACCTGTCGGGAAGTTCTCGTGTGAGTTCCCAGAAACAAAACCGTGAGGGCGTGGTTGGAGCCCAAAGCAGACAATATCGTGCTACGGTGGTGGAGCGGGCCCGGGAAGTGATCCGCCCCGGGCGGGGATGTGACAATATACACTTGTTTTGCTGATATAATTTGCAAATTTTTTTCCAGAAGAAGCAAGTGGAGGGAAATGATTTTTGATACTTGCTTGATTCTAAGTATTTGGGAGTTTTGTTCTCTAAAAGGATATAAATCCCCTTGCTTATAGAATTAAAGAAAGTTAAAAACTTGAAATGCTATTTTCCCACCAACTATTATTTCTAAAATAACATCTAATATATATCTAAATTCTTTTTTAATTTTTCCAAAGAATAAATATTAGAATGCTGATTAGCCCAGCCGAGCCTCCACTCACCTCCAAGGCTCACTTCTCGATTTTTATTCTTGTTAGAATTTCAAAATCCTGCCACTTCCCAAGTTTCCAGCTGATTGCAACTCTCCGTCCTTCCCTCTCTCAGAGCCTTAAGGCAACTCCTTTCAAGTGACGAAGCCACAGAGACGCAAGGAGGTGTGGCCACACCTCTAATTGTTGGAAATCGACCCTAAGAGGGAAAATTCACCCCTCTAAACCTGCACGAAAGGTGTTCAATGAAATGCTTGAATGAAGGTCTATTGTCTGCAGGCACTGGCGAAGACAATTAAGGCCTACAATAGTCCTAGGCCTACCCTGACTTGAAAAAATAAAATTAGTATTACACTTATTTCTATTTCTATTGCTTTGCAACCATTGTCAACAATTAAAACAAATTCAATCAGTATTTATTTTTAATCCAACAGATTTCATCCCAAAATTAAGTATATATTTTGAATGGTCATTTATCACAGAGGGTGGTGTTATATAGATACATTTTTTTACCTTCCACATACCCCCTGTTAATTTATGTCATTTGATCTTCTTCAATTCATTCAATTGGACGACTAGAAATTGAGAGAGGTGTGTGAAAGGTAAAAAGTGGTGTGTGGATAACACCACCTTATTACAAATGAATAACATTTAAATTAAAATCCATCATTCACTTTTAAGTAAAAAAATCGTCTTTCACTTATGCACTGGCAGAGTTATTCTCTATTTTTCTTGAATTTCATATATTTAGCCATTCCAAATCCCAAATTTATTGAATAAAGGACAAGAAGGTTTGTAATACTCTAATATTCTCTATAAAACATTTGTTTCTATTCTATCCCACCTCTTACTTGAGTTTTAGGGTTTCAAAAGTTTTATTAATTTTGAGTTTAATAATTCTTTCAATAGTAGTATAGATGACATCATGCAACGGTTTCAAAATGAAATTCGTCGAGAATAATTTTGATTAGATAAAATTATCTATGCATATGTTAGTTTTGACTACTTAATTATTTGGATATATATTATGATGTTTTGCATTAGTAATTTTATAACTCCTATTCGTTTTTTCTTCTTCTATATTTGTGTGAGGCCCCTCCTCACAAAAACTCCTAGATCCGCCACTGTCTCCAGGGACCACTAGCCTGCTGTCTACAATTCCCTGCTTTGAAATTGAAGGTCTCATCTCTTCTTCATGTCAGAGTGTTGGCTATTCGTCTTCCTCATATTTCAGAGATAGCTAGTTTCGGTTTGGAATTGGATCGTCCAATGTTTTTGAAATGGCAGTTGCCTCCGTGGCTAGAAACCCTTTTTTGTGCGTCATAATTAAGGTAGGCCTTGGGCAACTCCTCAAGTCGGCCCAATTTTCTGGCTCCTTTTTCGTATTTCTTTTTGTTTAATATTTATATTGTACCACATGCATTTTGGTGCTGTGATTACCCCTCCATTTTCATTTTATTTGAGTTATTTTTTTTATTTTGTCAAATTGGTCATTATGTTATTTTTTTGTTTTTTTTTTAACAAACAATATTATTACATTAAAGGAGAGGGAGTGGGCTTAGGCTCACAATGAGTTAGCAATAATGTGGTTCAAATTTGTTTTTGACGAGAATCGAACCTAAGACCTCTCACTTACAAGTGAAGAGGAATTGTGGACCGTATACTAAATGACTATTGTATTTTTCTGTTAGAGCATCGGTAAAGCTATGTTATGAATTTAATTACAATATTTATGACATAAGTTTAAGCATATTAGCCAAAGTTGTGTGTGCAAAGTTGCACCTTAAATCAGCATTGTCTACTTTTTAGTCATTCTTTTAAGGCCAACTTTAAAAAAAAAACTAATAATTCGAAATCTTTTAGTCGTTTAGTGATTATTTAGTAAATAGATAAGCCATGAATGCATATTATTCAGTTGAGAACCGTAATTTTGACAATATTAATCAAAAACTTCAATGAATATATTACTTTGTGACAGTCCGTCCCAAATTTTACGTTTTT